GGGTGTCCCTGTCGCCGTTTTTGCCGTGTTTCGGGGTGCCCGGCGGCGCCTGGTGGAAGGCCGTGTGTCAGGCGGTGTTTTTCCGTGTGGGAGGTGCACGGCGGGGCGCGCAGCACTGCAAGCGAGGGGGGAAGAGGTGCTGGAGCGTTCAAGTTAAGTGTGAGGTTAGAAGTTAACCCCAGGTCTTCACTGAGGGGAAGGTTAATTGGCACCTGCGAGCTGGGCTGCCAGTAGGGCGAGAAAGCATAGTTGCTTCTTTGGGGCAGCAAAAATGCATTTTATTAGCGAGGGAGGGCAATGGTGCAGAGAGAAGAGCTACCCTGTGCTGCACAGCCAGAGTGCGCGGCCTCTGGTGTCCCGTGCGGTTAGCTTACACTAGAAGAAGATACTAGAGAGAAACCTGGATGGGCTTATGGTGGCTCACTGGTTTCCTTAGGGACTAGTCCTGTGCTGGTAGTCCAGCAAGCAGGTTAGTGTTGGGCATTTAAAACCTCATTAGGCTGGTGTAAGTTAACACAGTCCTTCTCGTTAATTTCCAGCACCAGTTATTTTTACATGGTGTTCATACCTAGAGTGTTTAAACATACTGTATGTTTCAGTTGTCTCTGTTGCTTTCCCCCTCACCGTCTCGTCACTGCAACATGAAGGCAGAGGTGCCCTGCCCTGCGGTGCCGGTAGCAAACCTGGCAGTGCTGCGTTTGGCGAACATGAGGCTTTCCTAAGGGGGAAACATTAACTTACAGGGTGTGAAGTTTTACTGCCGTTGCTCTGCGGTGTAACAGCAAACTTGTGTCGGAGTGCATGCTTTGTAAGGGGGGAGTTGTGGAATTGTGCCACTGGGTGTTTTCTTGGAGGCATGCAGCATTTTATCCAATAATACAAGTTTGATAGAGAAATTATACCATATGAAATGCAATGAACCCATTTATTCTTAATTTCTAGATGAGCGGGTATGTACAGACTTGGCAAGTAAAAGAAAAAGGATTAAACTAACGCCTGAGGAGGGTGGGTGGGGGTGGCCCGCTGGCGGGCTGTGGCTCAGTGAGCTGTGCATCTCTGCTCTGTCAGCCCCAGTTCAAATGCCTTGGATTGCTGACTCCTGAGAACTGTCTTTTTTGTAGCGTTCCTCTCTGGGATGGTAATTCCTCTTTGAGGGTAGCTTCAACAATTTGAGTGCTTGACTGATGTCTGGCATCTCCCCATTGGTGACCAGAGAAGGATTTAAATGACTTAATCAGCAGCACTACAGTCCTCTTGCATTACAAAAGTATTTAACCCACTCCCCCCTTGACATAAAAAAGCCTTTTGCTATTTTCTGTGACTAGAATGGCATTTTGGTATTTTGATGTTGGCAGCACTTATGCTGCATTTGCTAGTTGGTTTGGTTTTTTTTTTTTTTTTAAATGAGCAACTAAACAGCAATGGCAAAAAGCTTTTCTAGAGACTACAATACCAGAGTTTTTATCTGTCAGGAGAAGAGAGAACAAAACCCAGTACTTTATTCATGAGATTACAACAGTTCTCTCCTGTCCACCACACTTATCATGGAGGTAGTTTTCCTTAACGATGGAAAGGAAAAGTCATTATTCTGCTGTATAGCCTGGAGTTTTACATATTTCTGTAGTGAGGAGAGAAATTAACATACTGGCATTACTGAGAAGTTGAGGCAGATAAAAGGCACTCGTGTGGTGGCAGTTTTAATGATAAAACAGTCATGACAGTTCAGGAACAGTCAGGCAGTATAAATAAAAAAGTTTATGATCTGATCCCACCAGCTCATGTCCAGAATTGAACAAATCTGAGGATCACGATCCAGCTCTGCCTTTGCCTTCCCTCTCCCGTGGAAAAGCTGTAAGGGGGATCAGCTGAACTGTTGCCAATTTTGGTACAGAAGGGCTATTTATGGCTTATAGAGTGAGTATGAAAGAGCTTGTTAGCAAAGTACATTTTATTGGTTATTCTGATGTATTTTATTGTAAACCCAGGACTGGCATAAGAGTTGTCATTACAACTTATTGCAAACTGGTATTGACATAACGAGGTCTGGGATCAGCATAGGGACTGGATAGGATGAAGAGAGTAACATGAGAAGTGAACGGTGAAACCTTTTTAAGGACAGTCTGAACCTCAGCAGCCAAATCCTGAGTGCAAACATCCATCAAACTGTTAGTCTGGGTACCTGCTAACAGCATCTGTGTGAGGGTGAGACCATGGGGAGGAGTGCAGGGCAGTGGCTGGTGGGAGTGTCCAAGGAAAGCTTGATATGGGAAGTATAGCTTTGGATGTACTGATCGCGAGAGTAATGGAAGCCTTAATGCAATAGTTGCATGATTTTATTCTGTACAATATAGTACAATGGAAGAAGAAAGGAGTTGCTTTGTCAGCATAAGCAGCAGAAAGATGCTGGAATTAGCTTTAATGAAAAGTAAGTTTTGAAATAAAGCATTTCAGATTTTCTACCAGGCTGACACCATCAACTTGCAATAAATTAGCCTGCTAGCTTTGAAATCTATTGCTTTGAAATTATGATTATCTCAAACTGAATACATTTTCTTATTTTTAATGTGTAGTCATTAAATTCTAAGCCAGTCAGCTTAGCTTTACTAGAAAAGATAAACTTTGAATTATTTTTCAGTTATTATTTCCGTGGACTATGTCTTGTTCATAACAGGTGAGGCTGTTGTCTTGCTTGGAGAAATTACTTTATTTTGTATGGAGGCTTCAAGTGTTACTTTTCCTGTGAAACACATGAGGGCAGCAAAGGACTTTTGGAAACATGGATGCAAACCATGCAGTTTAAATTTTTATTTTAATTAAAATAGAAAACCACCAACCAACCAAAAAAATCCCCTCTTATTTTAGGAAAACATATGCATCCCAGATTGATTCCCATTAAAAAAAATCTGTACATCATATCAGGCAGAAAAAGTGTGTTTCTCCTGGATTTGCCCTCTCTGAGGGCTAAGTAGATGTGTCAGTTTATCTTGTTCAAGAGGAGACAGTGTTAGAAAAGTTAGGGTCTCCTCTAATGACTGGCTCAGGGAGAATAGAAGTGTAACAAATAGCAAAAGGTGGGCAACTGACAGCCAAAGTGTTTCAGAATGCTTTATTTTTCCACTAAACTACCGTGCTATTAAAGCATTTTGTACTTGTGCTTAGATGAACAAAACTCCACCAAAGTACATAGAGAGCTCTGTCTATAGGCACCAGTCCCTGCTCTGTTTCGAATTATTCCAGTGTAAATCTAGCTTTGCTTCATTAATATAAAAGAAAATATGCTTGTAAATATAATATCAGAATCAGGCCTATAAAAAGGAATTGAGTATAAAGTTTGTGGGGGTTTTGTTTGTTTGTTTTAAAAAGTTTAATTGATACCAATTCTTATTGCTTCGTTGACACAGGTAAGCCATATATTAGTTACATAGGTTACCCCGGTGATTAAAATCGTTTTATGCAAGTGTATGCTTTGTTTATGTTGCAAGATTGTTTTTTTTGTAAAGTCTGATTTAGAATTTTAGAATTGTAAATACCTCTTTTAAAATATATTTTAGTGGAATTTTACATATTTCTTTACTGTTCTCACTATTCATTAGAAGTATTTCATGAGCTGAAACAATGCATCCTAAAGGCAAACGCAATAATGAATATATATTTAGGAACCTCCAAACTTATTGTAAGATATTTTTTTTTAAATGAAGATATACCCTTTTTAAGAGATTTTCTTTTCTCATCAGGTGCAAAACACCCATTTCTAAAATTACTTGTAACTTAGTGTAATTAGTGGGTGGATTTTCATAGTATTACAGGTTCAGATTGTGAGAGCATGTTAGTATTTAGTAGCCTGGCTTTTTTTTTCCCCAGTGATTTTTGCATAGCTGTTTGAAATAGTTAATTGAGTCTTGTTAGACAGCCGAGCTTCAGTGCCCTTTGGCCTCTATGTTTATAATTATCATAGCAAACAAGGGCAAAATACAATAAATTTCTTCTGAGTTGAAGACAGGTCTTCCAAGGGTGGGTACTGCTGCTGCTAAGGGCAGTAACGAGATGTGTTAATGGACTTGGGAGGAAGGATGCCTTTCATTCTGATAGGTATCTATACAGCAGCAGTTTGGACTTTTGCCTTTTGCATGCATATAAAATGTTTAACAAATGGAAAATAAATCCCTTTGTATTGTGGAGTCTTCAGCCTCACAGAGAAATAATCTAAATCTGGCAGCAGATGGAGCTGAGTGCCTTTTCTTAGAAAGGCTTGTTGGGAAAAATTATTTCAGGATAAATTGAAGGATTTGTTTATTTTAGGACCTTGCAGTGGTGGTGTTTGCTAATATAATTGCACTGGTAACCATTATTAAATGTAAGCAAAGCAAGCAAGAATTGCAATATTGGGATGAAATCTGGTCCTGTTTAAGCCAATGAGGGGGTAAATAAACAGCATTGCTGCAGCTAATGTTTAGAAGTTGTCTTTTTTGAGCCCCGAGGTAGACTTTGAAGTTTGTGAGAAGCAGAGAAAATTACGCATAGTAATAATTGGGTTTGCAGGAATAACCAAGCTATGCAAGGAGTTGCCTTAGCTAGATCGTGATAAATATCTGTATTGACCGTGTTGTCTCTCCTGGTGGAGCTGTCTTCCTTTGCAAATAATGAAATAACTGTAGGACCTGCTTCTCAAACCTGACTCTTCTGTATCTCAGCTGAATGCCTTAAACACCAGTAAGTCTCTAGCTCTTTTAATTTTTTTTTAATTCAGCCTTCTCAGTAGGGGGTGAATTATGAATAAAGAAGGCTGGCAGCAGAGCTAATTATTCAAATCAAATGGTGAAACAGAATTTGAAAATGCAGAAAGATGTGGTTAGGCATTGCACTGTCACAAAAGGAGCAACACCTGTTGAGTGAGACTGAAGTGAGAAGTCTTGATAGTTTTAGGGAGCTGAAAATTGGATTTTAAGATGGTGACTGTGCCATTTCTTATTTTCTCCGTCCTCATTGCCAGTCCCACTTGCCAGTGTGTATAATAGCTTGACATTAAGTATTGTCAGCTGAGAAAATTTCTTATATCCAGGTATCTCCAATTTTATTTTTCTGTTGGCTTTTTTTTTCCTCTTTATATTTAATTATCCCCAGAAAGTGGGGTAGTAGTCATCTTTTCAGGAAGAAATTCAGACAATATTGGGTGTAAACTGATTTAAGGGCACAAGCATTCATAAACATTTATTCACTTTAATCGTTCTTATTTCTTTCATTAGACTGGCTATGGATGGTGGACAGAGTGCTCATCAGTAGAAGTAATGCTGTTTTGCAAAATCTCCTTTGCAAATTTCTGTAAATCCTTCAGTTGATTTGCTTATACATCCTTCATTAATTTGTCGGTGACTTTGTTGGTAGAGGAGTCTAGCAAGAGGCTAGCAGGACTTGCCAAATTCAAATAAAAGGAGAAACAAAATTAAAGAAAAAAGGTACCATTCGGGAATCCTGGTATTTCTATTCTACACAGATTTTTGCACTCATTTTTGTAGGATCTGGTTACTGAATTTCTCCATTGGTGATTATAACTCAAAAATGCTGTTGAATCATCCCAACCTTATATTCTTTCTGCTCCATATACGATGCCTTCCACTTTTGTTTTACTGTGGAACTTAAAAGGACTGATTTTTCTGATCACATTGATGTGAAGCAGTTGTTACTATTACTGCTATGATTATAATACTATTGAAATTATACCTTGTTCCTGTAGTGCTTTATATCCATAGATTTCTAGTGCTCTTTGTGGGAAGGTCAGCAATGTAAAACCAATGTCAAATTTGCACCTCAAGCATGAGGTCTGTGTCTGTGACTAACCTGTGCACAGAATTAGGGAGTCT